GTCCGGGGTTCGATCCCCGGCCGCGTCATACCAAAAGACGTTAAAATATGGTACTTGTTGTTACCCTGTCTGGCGCTCGACATTAAGGGGATAAAACAAGGACTGGTCGGCTCGGAGTCAGTATACTGTGTCTGAGTGGGGTATTCATGTTAAACTGCGGCATGGTATCTCAGTGAGCTAGCACTATAAATCGGCATCAGTCCGGACTAGTACAAGCAGCCACACACACACACACAAACACGTACATGCACGTCGCTATATAGGTGCAATAATCTTGGACGCGACGTTAAACCCAAATTCACCTCACCTCACCTAGCTGTTGCTGAAAAATTATTTAATCTCAATACAAAATACAAGGCCCCGCCAGAATATCAAATGGTCGGTCCCTTAGCGCTAAGCAACATTTCTGGCTTTCTTCATGAAGGCGACACGCATTGATACAACTGAAATTCTGTTCAAAGCTGACAAACTCACTCACTCCAACAGTAGAGCGATATCACAAAGCTGATAACCTATTTGTGAATGTCAACATTGTTATCTGACCTTGGTAAAGCAAAGTACACAGTGGAGTGATGGAAGAATACATCTACGGTAGTTACAAAGTGTTATTCTGCTGAAACGTGTGCTTAGTAGTACCGAGGACAGGGTGTATGTGTCCATAATAATCAACTATGTCCACATCACCGCATGTGGCCGATTAATGTCTCTAATACAATCATATAATAAAAGCAATATACTAGTATATGGTACAACAAAAACCGTTTTGTACCGTAGTTCAGTTAGATCCGTGTACATAATTTGAGACCCGTGAAGATCCGGGGAAGAATAAGTCTTCAGCAACCTATGCTTGCCGTAAAAGGCGACTATGCTTGTCGTAAGAGGCGACTAACGGGATCGGGTTATCAGGCTCGCTGACTTGGTTGATGCATGTCCTCGTATCCCAATTGCGTGGATCGATGTTCATGATGTCAATCACTGGATTGTCTGGTCCAGACTCGATTATTTACAGACCGCCGTCATAGAGCTGGAATATTGCTGAGTGCGGCGTTAAACAACAAACAAACCAACATAATGGGAGAGTAAAACGTAAAGTAATTGCATGTTGAAGAAGTTTAGATTTTAGGGAAATATAGCACTTCTATAGCACCACAATTGTCTAATGAGGGGACAGCTCTAGCACCCCAATTGTGTTTGTTGTTTTGTTTGTTGTTTAACGCCGCACTCAGCAATATTGCAGCTATATGACGGCGGTCTGTAAATTATCAAGTCTGGACCAGACAATCCAGTGATGCATCTGTTGAGTCGAGTTAACACTTGGTGTACTAACATATATTGCTTGCAACAATGCATTACGACGTAAATATAGAAACGGCTAATTTGTGACAAGAACCTATATGGAGTGAGTGAGTTGGGGTTTAACGCTGCTTTGAACAGTATTCCAGTTATATCACGGCGTCTCAGAACAATGTGGGAGGAAAGCCCGAAGTGATGCAGATCTCAGACATTTACCACTTTAGTGAAACCCACGAGCACGGGTAAGGTGCTGACAAACCTAGAAACATAATCAGGGCGAACCGGGATTCTACCCCACGATCATAGGTTTCTGGCGTGCCTAAGGGACGCAACTCTACACAGCGGATTGCGACGCCTCAGACCACTGGGCCACCCGTACCGAAAAGACTTAGAATTTGTGAAATATGGTCCTTTGGATACATTGAAAATAAATATACTTCGCATTGAATGTGAGTAAGTTAAATTTAACGTCGCATCGGCATTATTTCAGCCATTTAGCGACCATTGAATATGAAATTCATATGATCATCTGCGTAGAGTGTATATATTCCAGATAAGTAAATTTAAAATGCTAAAACAAATGAGTGCGTATGTCTTATTAAAAAAATGGGAATATGTATTTGATGCAAACAGTTTAAGGAATGAAATATCGTGCATGTATTTTACAGACTGGCAAGACATAATTTATTCTATACATTATGCCTTGAGCCACAATAAAAACAAGATGGAAATATATAATATAATATAATAATATAATCAAATGTAAATGCAGAAAAAAGGCTCGATTTTTTAGTACTTAGACTTACAGTCTCAAGTAAGGCTTAGGGTTAGGGTAGGGTCCATAGGATTATTGGATTAACGGCTTTTACAGAGGCTTTTTACTTAAGTTAGAACACATGCTAAATGAATGCAACTTTCAGGAAACAAATTGTATTGGTGAACCAAACTTTAGTGAAATAATTATATTTTCTGAAAATATGTTTCCAAATGATTCAGTTATATATGTTTATACCATAACTGATAAGTTTGCTAAAAGCAGGGTCAAGGAGTGGGTACGCACCTCCTGTCTGCATGGATCCACGCATGGTATGTGTGGAGGGTCTGATGAAATACCAGTGAAATATTAAGTGTGAAGTTCATTGTCATATGCAGGTTAGGGACAGAAGTGCGTTTTCCCACTGCGCTACAATCTCTTGCTTTCTGTATATGCTGCTTCGGTGTAGTAGAAACAGATGTTTGCATGTAGAACCCGACAACATGATGAAAGACTTGTGAAATATATGCACAGGGTACTCAGGGTATTACTAAGTAATATGTATGTATGCGGTCAGGGACTCCCGTGAAGATCCGGGTTAGAATTTGTCTTCAGCAACCCATGTTTGAGGAGAGTAACGGATCGGGAAGTCAGGCTCGCTGACTTGGTTGATGCACGCCATGGTATCCCAATTGCGTAGATCGATGCTCATGGTGTCAATCGCTAGATTATCTGGCCCAGACTCGATATCCCATCACCCATAGTTGGAATATTGCTGAGTGCGGCGTAAACAACAAACAAACGGTCTGGGACCATGAGTGTATTTTCACACGGCGCTAGAGACCATATTTCAGTGTTGTGTAGATATCATTAAGTTTATTCATAACGGTCACTTTTACAAATTGCTACATATTAATATTGTGATGATGAAAATGAGATGCGTCTGGGGCGGTCGGGAAGCCTAGTGGTTAAAGCGTCTGCTCGTCACGCCGAAGACCCGGGTTAAATCTTTTTCACATGGGAACAATGTGTGAAGCACCTTTCTGGTTTCCCCCGCCGTGATATTGCTGGAATATTGCTTACATCGGTGTAAAACCACACCCACTCTGTTTATTTCACAAGTGAGCCCAGTTATAATAGATTCTTTTGATAGTCACATAAAAGCTACATGCATTGGCATGCATCCGTCGTCTACTCAGGCTGACCTCAGTATCAAAAACACGTTTATATTCCAAATGATCGCAGTATCAATCTACACATTTATATTCCAAATGATCTCAGTATCAATCTACACATTTATATTCCAAATGATCGCAGTATCAATCTACACATTTATATTCCAAATGATCTCAGTATCAATCTACACATTTATATTCAAAATGATCTCAGTATCAATCTACACATTTATATTCAAAATGATCTCAGTATCAATCTACACATTTATATTCCAAATGATCGCAGTATCAATCTACTCATGTATATTCCAAATGATCGCAGTATCAATCTTCACATTTATATTCCAAATGATCGCAGTATCAATCTACACATTTATATTCCAAATGATCGCAGTATCAATCTACACATTTATATTCCAAATGATCGCAGTATCAATCTACACATTTATATTCCAAATGATCGCAGTATCAATCTACTCATGTATATTCCAAATGATCGCAGTATCAATCTTCACATTTATATTCCAAATGATCGCAGTATCAATCTACACATTTATATTCCAAATGATCGCAGTATCAATCTACACATTTATATTCCAAATGATCGCAGTATCAATCTACACATTTATATTCCAAATGATCGCAGTATCAATCTACACATTTATATTCCAAATGATCGCAGTATCAATCTACACATTTATATTCCAAATGATCTCAGTATCAGTCTACACATTTATATTCAAAATGATCTTAGTATCAATCTACACATTTATATTCAAAATGATCTCAGTATCAATCTACACATTTATATTCAAAATAATATCAGTATCAATCTACACATTTATATTCAAAATGATCTCAGCATCAATCTACACATTTATATTCAAAATGATCTGTGTGCACGCACGCGCACACACACACACACACACACACACACACACACACACACACACACACACACACACACACACACACACACACACATATATATATGTTCACTCGGTGTACATGTAATATATAATAAAATAATAGTCCACGTTAGTCCAACATCTTCGTTCGTGAAACTGACATAAAGAAGATGTTGGAAATGATGTACATGTATTTATTAGCTAAACGGATATCCAAACACATTCTTAAATATGATATTCATAAGTGAACACGAGAAGTATTTCCAAGGGACACACTGTAAAAACATTGAAAGGTGTGAGTTATTGTCCAGGTCTGTAAAAATAGCTATGGTCCTTCTATACACTTACCAATTACGTCGTAATAAAAATCAGTTTTAGTCTAACATTTCGCAATGAGATGCCGCTCACTAACGTCAGAGATCTCCTACATACGTGTATCGTGGGGTGTATGTCTTAACCGATGTGATCAAATAACATGCTCGACTAAATGCGTATTGCAGTATTGATGTTATACAAAGGAACTGACATGCATACATCCATGTTTGAGTTTTTAACCCTCAAGGCCTCCCGTACCGTGGCCTTCATTTCGCAAGTGGGTAATTTGTACTAAATATACACCATTATCTCATATCAACCTGCATCCACCTGACATGTCGCTGTAGATGTAAACTGGTGGGATTTTCCAGAGCTATAAAGTTTTAAGCTGACATCACCGGCAGAAAACACCGTACTTATGTGTATCAAGGTGTCAGTCAGTTGCTATGTTTAGGTCAATCGGCTAGCAAACACGCCTTTATCCAATGGCTGTAAGGTAAAGATACCACGTGGCCATCACATCTAAAAATAGATACACGCATGGCGTCACTGGAGCAAGACACAACAGACAGTATAAATATTTCGATGCGCATCCAATCCACGGAAACACAACTTATCTGTCGAAAAGGAAAGGAACTACTTTCTGCAACAAGTGTTTGTGTAATACTGACAAATCGTTTCAACTGGACGGATATATTTGAAAGAGCTTTGTAAGGTAAGACTATATATATTGTGAAGTATTTTTTAGGTCAGATTACAATGTAGCTCAGAAAGTGAGTGAACGATCTCGCTCTACATGTCTCATGTGATTCCGGCAGTGTGACACTGTGTCTGACCTTTTGTCCAAGCACCAATTGTTATTTTATGAGCCTATTTCCATTTAACACAACACGTACCAGTGTTCGAGTGAAACGGAGCGGATTACACACCGTAGTCGTCGTGATACAAGGTTTGTGTTTGTGAGACTTAGAGAGACTTTGGAGACCAAACTAAATCTTCGCGTTCGGAAACATTTTTAAAATGTAATTTTCATGTTGTACCATGTTTGCAATTAAACCTTAATTGGTTTTATCAAATTACATTACATTTTAAAAATGTTTGAAATTTAGTGGTCTAAGGGACGGTTGTTGTTTTAGGTAAGTTAATAGATATAAACTAACTGTGCCTACATCAACATTATAGCTACACATATATCATTCACAAAGACAGCTTATTAGTACATGTAGATATAATCACTCCAATTAGTGAAGTATTTCAAAATCAATATTTAATTTTAGAATATATCACATTAAGGTTTATAATGCTGAATCAAAAATTAAAATATTCCATGAAGAATATTTTATTGTAAAGAATATTCCCCCAAATGAAATATTTCTACATGTACCGACACGTTAAATTCTGCCATGATTATATTACAATACCGAGAAGGATAACTGGAAAAGAAGATCAGTTTCATAATTTCACAACGAACCTCACAATAGTAATCAACTCCAAGCCCAAATAAGGAATTCTAATCCCCTTGGGTTAATCCGCAGAACCGTTAGAATAATCTCTGGGCTGTAATAACAATGATACCGATGAAATCAATAGCTGCCGGTCATAAGCACGTGCTGGCGTGCCAGGTGCCGATTCACTGACCAATGAGCTTGCAGTGATCTATTGATGCTGACCGTTCAGCCGTGGTCATTAGGAAATACCCTTGCACATTAATATCAGGAGTAACTAAGTGGACGCTATGCACATCTGGTCAGCCTGGATCCGGCTGTTTCACTGACCGTCGTCTGTATGGTAACGCGTCTTCAAATTCTGAGGTAGGAAGTATTACTTATCAACATGCATTTTTGTTATCGCCATAGGTGTTATATCAGACTACAGTGTGATATCACATTTATTATACATGTTTAGTACAGAACACGTACGATATTACTTAAGCATATATAATTTATAATTTCGTTCAAATTATTTCATTGTGTGTTTATCTATGCTTGTTACCTGTGGGATTCAGATCTGGTAACTTATATCGTATGTCTTGGTCGTATATATTCCGTTCCGCATAGTGCAATGTACGTATTCTGGGTACACAGTGGTGCTGCAATTGCTGTCAACAGATAGTCAATAGAGGCAATATGCATCTTAGATAAGACATGTACATACATATTGGTCGGCATATATAAAATTGATTTCCATGATCATATATTAAGATTTCCTATAACGCGGGCATGAGTAAGAACATCAATATTTGTGGTATTTGATCTCGAGAGGGTTGATACTATCTGAGTGTGTATGTATGGTTTTACGCCGCTTTTAGCAATATTCCAGCAATATCACGGCGGGGGACACCAGACTGGGCTTCACACCTTGCACCCATGTGGGGACTCGAACCCGGGCCTTCGGCGTGACGAGCGAACGCTTTAATCACTAGGCTACCCCACCGCCTGATACTATCAGTTATGAGGTTGACACATAAATGTTGTTTAAACATATACCAAAGCCACTCGGTGTTGAAACCATTCGTTATTCCGGAACTCCGCGATTACAGTTGGAAACGCTTACATTTATGCACTGTAACATTTTTCCGTGTCAAGTATTCGTTTATCCGTACGATTTCAGTGTGAACTCTTGTCCGGATTAACGAGGTTTTACTGTACTCGCTGTATATGTTTCACTGTCAAATACAAGCAGTGTAGATGATCAGGTTAGACACACTTATATTTAGTCTACAGCTCCTTCTCAATAACTGACGACCCGCGGTGCCTGCTTGTACTAAATGTTGTGTAGGTAACATGGGACAATGGCCAGGTAGATCTGCTGTTGATCACAATGTTGTGTTCATGTGGTTCACGGGGCTAGTCATAAACATTCTTTCTACTCGTCACCAGTCACTGGGCCAACAGATTAGGGTTACATGACGAACGTATACGTTGCCAACGTTACGTTTTTAGTGTTAAAATGTAAAGGTGTAAATCAGGTGCTAATTACCCATAGTATTAATCTCGGATTCGACTAGACAAGACAATAATTGTAATGTAATGACAAAAAGCATATCCATTCAAGATTAGATTACACTGGAATGCAAGGTTAGCAACCCAGTCAGGATAAAGGACAACATGCAGTCTCAATGCCATGCAAACAACGATAACCCTGATAAAATTGAGCCCATCTCATCATATGTATGTATAGAGTGGATCCATGACATTGGCATACCACATATATACATACTGGTTGTATATACTTTGTATTGAGATACCGTTAGCAATATAGACAATATTGCCGTCACCCACTCCCCACAAGCAAAGGTTGCAATTAACCGATTGGCGCTAAGGGGAGGTAATTATTCCAAAGCACATCCGCCATTACATCCCGATTTGGCGGTGATGGGGAAAGACGGTTCTAAATTCAAATTGACATGAACTGTATTACAAAATTATGAAAATGCAAAATAGTTGAATAGATATCTTACAACACGTCATAGGTTTGGTTAAATTCATTTACATTATATAGGCGTCATATGTAACAGCGGTAGATTTTTTTCTGGGCAAGGCAGTCAGACGTTGGGCCAACGTTATCACGTATATTGGGCCAATGTAAAAAATGCGGCCGCGACTTTGCCAATCATTGCCAACGTTGGGCCAACGTCGTGATGCTAATTGGAAGATATAAATCGAACAATTTCATCGGTTTGGCGAGCGAACGCTTTAACACCTGCTGATCCATAAAGCAGAGACTAATTGATTTGAAATCTGAATTCAACACACGTCACGCCAATTTACGAAATAATTAATGTTTTTTTTTTATCTTTCAGACGAATCATCAGACAACAATGGGCAACCAACTGAGCACCGACACGCTCTGTTCTACGGACTCAGACGGCCATAGTTACTGGGTCGGCATCGACTGGAAATCTTTCGCAAAGGGAAACCGGAAGAAGTGCTATCAGGGCTGCTTGAACGGCCTTGGACCAAGGTCAGGCGAGACGGTAGTCGTGAAGGCCTTCAGAAATCAACTTCGGAGCCAGGAAGCGTGGCAAAATGAGGAACTAAAAGGACAATCGGCCAATCTCTTCCTGGACATGTTCAACAGTCAGTACCCTGGACGGTGGGACATTAAAATCAACGTTCCAATCGTGGCTCTCATGGACTCTGTGTCAAAGATAAACGACATCTTGGGCTACCGCAGCAGAAGTAGAAGCCTAAACGATAATGAATGGGTAGGAATAGAAGAACACATTCCAGGGAAGTTTACACGCTTCTGCGTGACGAACACAGAAGGCGAATACGAGAGGGGAATACTTCTGGAAGCCTTCTCCCATTTCACGTATCACCAGTCACGGGGGGCCCTTGTCATCTGCGATTTCCAAGGAGTCCAACAGGGCGGGTCGTACCACGTGACCATTCCCGTAATCCATTCGCAGAACGAAGAGTTCGGCCGTACAGATCTTGGTGCGCACGGAATCAACGAATTTTTCAAGACACATCGCTGTAATGATCTGTGTAAGAAATGGTCCAGGATGCATCCACTCTCGCCACCTCCGTCGTTTGAAAACATATACGAGCCGCCTTCATTCCGAGCCATTCCTTCAGCTCCACCTGTTGATTGTGATGGCTGAATTAACTGTGAGATTGATGCTTGAACCTTCTGCTGCAATCTCAATTGCCCCAAAAAAGTTCTCCTGGCACTGTCGAAATGATCGTCGGTTCTGTGTCAGCTGGGGAAAGTCTGTGTTTCATTACGTGAGTAAAATACCATACAAGGTGTGGATGCTGTATGTAGGCCACGGAAAAAGATGTCAGACCCACATGCAGAGAAACCTCGTTAGTTCGGACCCCGTTAATACAGAAACCCTTCCTTCCGGACGATTACTGCTGGTAAAGCCTTACAAATAAACACAATCTCTGTACCTTTGTATGTGTTAATCCAGACATTTTCAAGGATTACGCTTACAGTCCAGATTGACGTGATTTAAATGAACTTGTTTCATTAGAGATCATATTATATGGTTTCTTCTTCACGAACTCTTGCCAAAGGACAGCGACCTCAATGACGAATAGGTCCTCGGAAAAGAAAGATAGAGACAATTTGTTCCAAGTAACATTGTATATATAACTGGTGCTTTTACGGACGCTTCTATGTGTCATCGTGATACTATGCAACAACTGAATTCCGATTACATGTTAGTGTGTGCAAGTCTCCTTTAGCTTTGTCCTTTTTATAGCCCTCTTTTCTTTTAAATATTTTTGGGCCATGGAAGTAGACCTAGTCTTTTTTTAAAAAATAGCCTGCTTGACTCTAGATGTGCAATATTAGTTCTCGTGTACCATGCTATATTTCAAGGCTTTGTGTACCATGCTATATGTTCAAGGCTTTTTGTACCATGCTATATGTTCAAGGCTCTGTGTACCATGCTATATGTTCAAGGCTCTTTGTACCATGCTATATGTTCAAGGCTCTGTGTACCATGCTATATGTTTAAGGTTTTGTGTACCATGTAATATGTTCAAGGCTTTGTGTACCATGCTATATGTTCAAGGCTTTGTTTACCATGCTATATGTTCAAGGCTTTGTGTACCATGCTATAGGTTCAAGGCTCTGTGTACCATGCTATATGTTCAAGGCTTCAGTAGTACCAGCTAGTCCCTCATTTAATACGCAAATGAAAGCTAGTGATCACTGGTCTGTGTTTGAATCACACTAGGGCCTACCGTGTAAGTCTAGCCATGCCTTCTTCGCTGTATCTAAGGCTGTCTAAGTATAATAGAGCTTAACTTGCGCCCCCTATCAACTTGTTAAAAGGAACGTACTGGTGTCAAGATTAATGTCTCAAAATAACTCATAATACCACAGGGCTTCAGATAATTTGTTTAGCAATTGGGAACTGACTCACAAGTTATCATTCACATTGGGTATTGCTTGCTTTACTTTCGGTATTCAACATATTTTTACAAAATATATTTTGTGCCTTTTTATTGGGTATTTTTACACTAATAAGAAGACGTTTTGTTTTATAAGTCTGATTAAAATGCTGTTTCAGATGACTTCTAAGTTGCATCTATTCGTGTGCTGTCTCAAATGTGTAACTTGTCTCATAAAGGCATATACATATCTAATTTAAGATCTATAAGACTTAATGTATGTGTGATGCTTGCTTTCGATCAGTAAGTAAATGTAACATAGGATACATAGGATGGTAACGCCGAGTGTTGTAATACTGATATACTTAATTTATCATGCGTATTTGTACCAAACAACTCAAAATGTATTGGGTAATTGTGAAACATTAACACTTCACACTGATTACCTTCAGAATACCACTGCCAATGCTTTATACAATAAATGTGTTCACGGATCTATGCAAAAGGGATATAATAGTATGCCCTTTCGTCATTGCATTATTGTCTATGTTGTTTCTTCATTCTTTGTTGTATGGTAATATTTGATTTGTAATAAAAGTATTTTCGTCGAACGCCCAATTCATTGTTTTTCTTTCAAATATCCCCAATGAATCCAGTATGCCCCTGTTTGTGTAACAATTTAAGGAAGTTTAACAAATGTACGTACACATATAACGGTACAACCAACCAACCATCCACAAACAACACATACACTGCAGTATGGCAGTTATTTGATTGATATTGTGAGCAGCGGAATCCCTACGGGGCTTTAATCTTTGTGATTACTCAGTCCCGTGACAACCCCCCAAAAAGAGAAAGCATTCTTTACTAGTTTCCGCGAGACCAATTTCTTTTTCAATATTCCTATCCGTGTGCTTTATGAGATATTTCTAACGATGGCTGTGAGTAATAAGAGAACAGCATTACTTTGAAATAAACGCACGCAAATGGGGTGAATGAGTGGACACTTAATGGATTTAGCACGGCAACAGCAAATGAATAACCGTTTCGTCATGTTTCAGTGAATTTGAGAGCGGGGCTGCAATGCATTCCCTTTGACACAACATTGACAACCCTGACAGCACCTCTAATGTTTTGACAACCCTTCTACCGCCTCTGAAAACCACGTGTTATTTGGGGCGGATTGCAACTACCGGATATGATTACATTCAAGCCTGAAATAATATAATTCGTTATTTACTGTTGTCATATATTTGAATAAGTGGGTGTCATTCTCTGACCTTTCGCAGTTTTAAAAGATAAAATAGTAAAGCCGTTATATTTACTATTTCGACATTTTTTGTAAGGCTATAATGGCTGTCGATTCAGCGGCGGAGTAATATAGAATACTTCCGGGTTTGAATGCGGCATGTTTTGAGTGTGTTGCAAAGTCGTTGCACCAGACAAAGTTTGTTTACTTTTAAAACTTTGAAGACGTGTCAGACAATTTTGCCGATAACAAGTATTTTGACTGTACGAGGGGAACACGCACACAGCTTACCTATGGGTCGTTCTAAACGAAACAGGAAGAGAAAGCATCAAGATGGACAATCTCCGAGTCAGACACAGGTTATTTCCAGCTGATTTTTGTTTCTCATGCTGCCATCGAGTCGTTGTTTCGGTACTCGTACGGTTTGTCTCTCCAATATAAATATGGAAATCAGATTATATCAACTGACTGTGGCATGTTAGCCGAGGCTAGTGAGGTAACCCAAGGGTCCACGAAATGCTTCCAATGTGTTGACTGGCGAAGAAACCACGTGGGAATCTGTCCTCCAGTCGGGCAATGCTTACCAAATAATAATGATAATAAATTATATAATGATATCGGTGTTGCTTCCCTTAGTTGTGTCAGGATCATGAACAATGATGAATAATATGTAGTGGGTTCAAGTCCCATATTGATCTTGGGTTTGTAAGCACCATATCTGTGCTCAGAACTAGACATTCCGTACCCACAGAGATCCGTACCCAAACTATTTAGCTGACGTGTACCCAACTCCTACCTAATCAGCTGGATGAGTCGTACCCAAAAAGTGGAATCTGTACCCAATGAAAATATGGCAACAATGCAGTTTACCGGGCGCAGCCCGAGCTCTACCATCCGCTCAGTTACCGCGCTATAGTGCCAACGCTGTCTCGTTATACCGTTACCGTGCCTCACGCTCTGGTGACTCTCGCTTCACGCCCCAACACCCGTTTTCGGTCTTAGGGAAACTTGCACATCTTTACAATCAAACACCCGTTCTCTAGGGAAACTTACAGGTGTGGTTTCAAGAAAAGATGAATGGGAAAGCGGACCGTGATGTCACACGCATGCGCAATTCATTGTTTACTGAAGTACGCATGCATGTCAATGGGGACAATGGGGACTCTAAACGAGCACTGATTACATGTGATAGCGCCTGTGGTCCAGTGGTAGAGCGTCGGTTAATTAACGCATTAATTAGAAGAGCCGGTGAGCCGGCGAAGTGCGTTCGAGCCCCCCCAGCGCTAATTGGATCTGAAAAAGTGTCCCGGTAAAGTGCACTACTCCCCATTTCTGAGACGTCTATTTGTTCAAGTGGATGCACATTTCACAGGTGTCCCATGGACAGGCCCCTGAAGCAGGATAGGGATATTAGGCTACTGGAACACCGGAACCATAAATATAAATATAGATAAGAAATGTCACTCAACATCTTGGGCGAAGTTGAAATTGGCTGTATCTTTTAAATTAAATGGGAATGTGTGCTTGTCATGTTCACAATACATCTCCCACATACGCCCTGCATGCCGCAGACATTCATGTTTTGCACTTTATTACCTATATCTTATGCTTTTATCGAAATATTGGCTCAGTCGTGGCTGTCAGTCACGAAAGTAAACAAGAAATCTCCATGATTAAAAGTGTCAAGTGCTGTGATCGGTCTGCGCTTCAACCATAATTTACACACATGGTGATATTTACCAAATTTTTAGAGTGCTTGACGCCATTGAGCGCAGTGATTTTTGTTTACTTCTTTGAACGACAGCCACGACTGAGTCAATATTTTGATAAAATCACCAGGTATTGAAGTAATGTGAACATGACATGCCACATTTCCATTTAATTTAAACAATACAGCTGATTACAACTTCGGCCAAGATGGCGAGTGATGCACCTTTTCTATTTATAAATATATGATTCCGGTGTTTCAGTAATATCACTATCCTGCTTCAGGGACCTGTGGTCCCAGGTGCAGAATTTCTATGTGCTGAGTTGCATCCCTTAGTTGTGTCAGGATCATGAATAATATGATTGTGGGTTCAAGTCCCATATTCATCCTAATTATGATCATGGGTTTGTAAGCACCATATCTGTGCTCGGAACTAGACATTCCGTACCCACGAAGATCCCACATTGAAGCATGTTTTATTTTTACCTTATGTTCCCTGTGTTCCAGACATTTAATAAATTGTTCCCTGTTAACAGCTAATTGATATAATGTTGAATTTGTATTTTGTTACAGGATAACAGATCAAACGAAAGGAACTACAAATTGCCAGAAAGAAAAAATGAACTGTTTGTGAAGTACTATAAGGTAAGGATGAGTTCCCATGGTGTGTTCATAAGTTGTCACACTTTTACAGTATCATGAATTCTGTGCCAAACGCATTTGTTTTCCAGCCTGCACTTACCTAAACATGTCTTAGTTAAAAATAATAGTGCTGAGAAGTACTAAAAAGTAATTCTACCATGAATTTGGAAATTACTCGATTCTGATTGGTCAACCAGAGGCTATCAAGTCACAATAAAGCCCCTCTGATTGAAACAGCTGGTTTGACGTCTGCATCACCGCGGAAGCTAATTTCATAGAATAGTACTTTTTTCAGTCATTTTTGGTAGGCGTATCTAAATAATAATACCTACAATTATAGGTTACAAAATGCAAAGTTATGGTTACTACAAAATTCAAAGGATGTGTGGCAACACATTTTGTGCAGAAAATGTGCTGTGCGTTTGGTTCCAAAATCAATTTAGCGCGGTTAAATTTACAGGTAATCTTGCTCTACATTGAAAACACACTATGTTTATCTCCTAATTAACAGTCATCTTTTTGAATTATTCTTCATGTTCATTATCATGATTATTACATTGCCTGCTGTTGCATTGGATTTATTAATTCCATTGCTGAGCTTTTTCTGTCTGGTTGTCTGGCTGATTACTTTTTCCACAACATATATCAACTTATGCCATATTTATAACAACATTGCAGATGCCTTCTGTTGGCTACGGGGCATAAATCCTGACTGGCAATCATTGTGTGGAGTAGTACCAAGGGCATCAGGTGGTTTTTGGTACCAAAACAGGATGTTACTCATAATAACTAGTCACAGGCTTTAATTGTTATTTTAATTCTATAAGATCAAAGGTTCCTTCACACACTCAACAATGAATGCAATGTTATTTTTCTAGAATTAACAGATATTGCTACTTTTAGATTTCTCTTGATTGACTTTTCTGTATAGCTGCTAAGCATCACAAGATAGATTAGGTAGTAGATAGACGCTGCAAATAAGTCTACATATCGGCCAATAAAAACATTTGTCTTACTACATTGTGTCAGTAGGTTCAGTCCACACCTCCAAATAGTTTTACTTTGGAATCCTATTTCTGAGAGTGTCATTTCAGCTCTTTCAATGTAACATTTAAATACTTTCTATGAATGTTATGATTTTTTTTTGAATTGACTTCATGTACATGATGTATCTAGAACAATTGATATGCATAACCAAATCATAATCATTTTTTTCAGTTTACTTGCCCTCGAAGAATTTTTTATGATAACCTTTTCTAAGCATGGGTTAACTGTTTGTGTTACCATGGTTACAGGAGCAGAAAATAGTCCCTGAGGGAGAATGGGAGACATTTGAAGAAATTCTTAAAACAGATCTCCCAGTCACTTTCCGTATCACAGGTTCTCGCAAGTAAGTGTCACAACTAGGAGAAGTTAAGGAGATATTAAGCCAGTATTAATGCAATGCCATGACAGCTTTTTTGAGACATTATGGCTAAAAAGAACATGGAGTTTGCTGAGACATCTTGTTCCAAATGTCTAACTGGTTATATCAGTTGTATGTGAACTTAGTAGCCTCTCTACCTCTTTTCAACCAACTTAGTAGCCTCTCTACCTCTCTTCAACCAACTTAGTAGCCTCTTTACCTCTCTTCAACCAACTTAGTAGCCTCTCTACCTCTCTTCAACCAACTTAGTAGCCTCTACCTGTCTTCAACCAACAGTGAAATGCCATTAACACTAAATGTTTTCAGGAAATATACGTAACCTGAAACCTGTGAAGAGCTGGGGTAGAATAGCTCTTCACCAATCCATGCTTGCTGTAAAAGGTGACGAACGGGATGGAGTGGTCAGTCTCACTGACTTGGTTGATGCATGTCATCAATCCCAATTGTATGGATCAATGCTCATGATATCAACCACTGGATTGTCTGGTCCCGACTTGATTATTTACAGATCGCCGTCATATAGCTGGAATATTGCTGAGTGTGGAGTTAAACAACAAAACAACCAACTAACCAACTAACCAACGTAACCTGAAGTGATGTTTGTGTTCATCACAGCAAACTAGTAATTCTGAAATGACTATTTTTCTCTTGCTGCTTGAAATGATCTTCTATAATTCAAGGTGAAAAAACATGACTAAGCAGACAGTATAGGAAACTTGAAGAAATACTGTACTGCCTAAAGTATTTCTGGCCATGTCATAATATACAGGCAGGACTCATGTGAACTGGGATGTGATTGGCTAGGGTTGCCACGCAAACTGAGCTGTGATTGGCTGCTGTTATATGTTCCAGCCAGGCCAAGGAGCTACTGCGGGTGATTAAAGGACAGTACTTCAACAGTCTTGTCAACCAGACCCTAGAGGATGGTGTTAAAATCGATCCCCCCAAAAACCTACCCTGGTGAGTATTTTGGGTGGTAATTGTAACCATAATTAAGTTTGTTTTGTGTGATGTAATTTTGAGTAATTGAACTGTCTTAGGACATAGTTTAGTAGGAGGATGACAATTAGTTTCTTTACTTCTCCAGAAGTGTTGGTTTGGACATGTAGAATGGAAAGTAAGAAAGTTGATGTGTAAATTGTATATTTCTGATTAAAATGTTGACAATAACCATGATGACTTCAGCATGTTAGAACATGCTGAAGTCATCATGGTTAAGGGAACTCGTCATTTATTATAGGGGACAGGAGGAGAGGGGAGAAAGAAATTAAAAAGACACAGCAAAGGAGCAGGCCTCAAAGTTTAAATTTTTACCAAGTAGCCATATGGCTACGAGTATTTTTTTCCAGGTAGCCAGTAGTAAAATCAAGAAGTCAAGCCAATATTGTAGGTAGCCAAAAGCATTTGAAATTATCTTTATCAAATAACTATTATAATCATGATAATATATATGTACAAGTTACAGCTCTAGTCTTGAAATTGTATCTTAATGGAAACTTAACTTGAATTTTGTTACTTTTGACTTGAACAGTGATGCAATTTTTGTTACTATAGATTATATAGGGATATCCTGGCTTATCAAATGAGCATTGTCAACTAAAATAAAGTACTAATTACATTAATTTTTCTGTATTTTGGTTCATTGTCGACTTTAGAAGGAATTATTTGCGAGTACAATTATTAGCTGACGTCTCCAATATCAGCTGTTATTGATTTTTGTGTCTACATATGTGTAGCAATAGAATTTAGTCGCCACAGGATATTTTTCTAGGTAGTCATTTGGCTACCTCTGAATTTTAGACAGTAGACAAACTGAAATTTAGGTTGCATTTTAGTCGCAACTTTGAGGCCTGAGGAGGGGCACATGAAAAAAGTTACATAAAATGAGGGTTGTCAGCAAAATGTGATATAGTCTGAAGACCAGTCTCCCCCTTAATAAATGACCAGTTGCTTACATGGTTTTGTGAGGTTTGGAGTAACATCATGAGCCATTGTGGTCAAGATGGGCTGTTGTATCTATCATGGTGCATTAGTGAACATTCAGCAATTTTCTTTGTTACCAGTAACTCATTTGTAGCACTGAGTTAGCTCCCCTGAGTCTGTTCCAGGTACCCTGAGGACATGGCTTGGCACATTGACATGAGCCGCAAGTACATACGCAGCAGCAACATCATGCGCAAACTACACGAGTTCCTTGTTGCTGAGACTGAGAGTGTGAGATAACTAGGTCACTGACCTCTTCTTTGCATACAAACGCAGCTGCCATGTTAAGATATTAAGATAATTTTTCTGAAAAGTGAGAATATTCATGATAGTAGCTGGTATTAGTGTCACAGTTGATGTTCAAGTATTCCCCTTCCTTGTTATATATGTGTCATGAATTTCATTGGTGTATCAATATATTGTCCTTGAGTTAATTTCTTTGACGATGGATTGTCACCCGAATGGAAGGTTCAGTTGATCTCATGTCATGGCACGTAACTTATTCATGTAAGTTGAGACTTTGTATAGGTGATTTCAGCAATATCGTTACGAAAAGGGCTGACACAAGTCGGATCTCATTTTGAACAAGGCTGCCATGTCAGCCATATTGAAATTGGGAATATTGCCCTTTACTAGGCCATCTCTGGATGTATCATGCAATGATATATGTCATTTGTCATATGCACAATAACATGTTACTGTAAATCCACAGGTTAATGGTTTTATTTTTTACCCTGCTATGTATTCATTTGGCCACCTGTTTATCTGCATTTACTAATCTCTGTTATGTCTGGGTGTCTAAAGCTGAAACATTTATATGGTGATGTCTCTAAAACCACAATTGTGTTTGATCCAGTTGTAAACATGGCTGACATAGCATACATTCCTCTGACTGTTTTGCAGAAAGTATGCAAAATAGGCAAGAAAATAAATATGTGGTTTGTTTTGTTCATGTACAGTAAACTACGTTTATAACGAACACGCTTATAACGAACTGACGGATATAATGAACCTACTTTTCCCCCCCATTTGCTATTTGCTGTCGTTATGCTGTATATATGCTTATAACGAACTACGGTTATAACAAACTAAAATTAGTGGTCCCTTTGAGTTCGTTATAACCGTAGTTTACTGTATTTTGATATTTATTTCATACTTCTTGTATTGATCTAATCTGATCATGATCTTCCTGACATTTCCAGCTGAGATACAAAGTCCTCTTTTTCCCTCAACGAGTGTACTTTTGACCTACAAAGAATAATGGACCTAAAGTAAAAAGCCAAATTCGGATTCAATAATCTTTACCGCATGTTCAAACCTCAACAAAGTAATGCTCATTTAAGATCGGTGGTGCTTTGTTTCATCTAATGCTTGTTTTGTTATGTGATGAACAAGGACCTTGAGAATTACGGTCGGGATTGTGTTGTAGGGTAACATCAGTCGCCAGGAGGCTGTCAGCATGATTCCACCACTGTTGATGGACATTAAGTCACACCACAAGGTAAAGGATGAAGACTTGTTAAATGTAATGGTGCTAGAGCCACATCAAACTGCACACTTGATGCCATATTCAGATAACTTTAGTTAACATGAAAGAATGCACACTCTGTGGTCTGGTGGATAGAGCGTCTGCCGGGAGAAGGAAAGGTCAGTGGTTCAATGCCTAGCCAAGTCCTACCAAAAGACTTTAAGATTGTACTATATCCTCAAGTGGTCAGAATGTGGTCGGATCTGAGCAGAGATTGTGGAGTTTCAAGTTACAAAATGACATTCCATTAACAGACTCAGTGCTGGTCCTTATGCAGAGAGGGCTGGGGATGGCTTATCTTGAATACTTTTAACGGAGATAATATTACCAAGCAAAAGCCACGGTGTAACAAAGTATATGGTTCTTGTTGTTACCCTGCATGGCAATCAGCATTTAAGGAGTTAAAACAAGGACTGGTTGGCTTGATTTGGGGCTCGGAGTAGGGTATCAAGGTTAGAACTGCTGCATGGTATCTCAGTGGGCACTCACTATCAAAGTGGCACAAACATGCATGTGAAATTCGACAATAACCATTGGTAAAACCAAACAATTTGTCTGGCTATTTTGTCCTTTTATAATTAGTATAGATGCCTGTGTACAGATTGTGAGTGTCCTGTGAAGATCCTGTGAAGATCCGGGGTAGAATATGTCTTCAGCAACCCATTCTTGCTGTAAAAGGTGACTATGCTTGTTGTAAAAGGTGACTAACGGGATCAGGTGGTCAGGCAGGCTCGCTGACTTGGTTGATGCATGTCATTGATCCCAATTGCGTGGATGTCAATCACTGGATTGTCTGGTTCAGACTCGATTATTTACAGACCGCCGTCATATAGCTGGAATATTGCTGAGTGCAGCGTTAAACAACAAACAAACAAACAGATTGTGAGTTGGTAGTTTTCCTGCCTGTAGATTCTGGACCTGTGACAGATTGTGAGTTGGTAGTTTTCCTGCCTGTAGATTCTGGATCTGTGAACAGATTGTGAGTTGGTAGTTTTCCTGTCTGTAGATTCTGGACCTGTGACAGATTGTGAGTTGGTAGTTTTCCTGTCTGTAGATTCTGGACCTGGGAACAGATTGTGAGTTGGTAGTTTTCCTGCCTGTAGATTCTGGACCTGTGGACAGATTGTGAGTTGGTAGTTTTCCTGCCTGTAGATTCTGGACCTGTGGACAGATTGTGAGTTGGTAGTTTTCCTGCCTGTAGATTCTGGACCTGTGGACAGATTGTGAGTTGGTAGTTTTCCTGCCTGTAGATTCTGGACCTGTGGACAGATTGTGAGTTGGTAGTTTTCCTGCCTGTAGATTCTGGACCTGTGGACAGATTGTGAGTTGGTAGTTTTCCTGCCTGTAGATTCTGGACCTGTGACAGATTGTGAGTTGGTAGTTTTCCTGCCTGTAGATTCTGGACCTGGGAACAGATTGTGAGTTGGTTGTTTTCCTGCCTGTAGATTCTGGACCTGTGGACAGATTGTGAGTTGGTAGTTTTCCTGCCTGTAGATTCTGGACCTGTGACAGATTGTGAGTTGGTAGTTTTCCTGTCTGTAGATTCTGGACCTGGGAACAGATTGTGAGTTGGTAGTTTTCCTGCCTGTAGATTCTGGATCTGTGACAGATTGTGAGTTGGTAGTTTTCCTGCCTGTAGATTCTGGACCTGTGACAGATTGTGAGTTGGTAGTTTTCCTGTCTGTAGATTCTGGATCTGTGAACAGATTGTGAGTTGGTAGTTTTCCTGCCTGTAGATTCTGGATCTGTGACAGATTGTGAGTTGGTAGTTTTCCTGCCTGTAGATTCTGGACCTGTGACAGATTGTGAGTTGGTAGTTTTCCTGCCTGTAGATTCTGGACCTGTGACAGATTGTGAGTTGGTAGTTTTCCTCCCTGTAGATTCTGGATCTGTGAACAGATTGTGAGTTGGTAGTTTTCCTGCCTGTAGATTCTGGACCTGTGACAGATTGTGAGTTGGTAGTTTTCCTGTCTGTAGATTCTGGACCTGGGAACAGATTGTGAGTTGGTAGTTTTCCTGCCTGTAGATTCTGGACCTGTGACAGATTGTGAGTTGGTAGTTTTCCTGCCTGTAGATTCTGGACCTGTGACAGATTGTGAGTTGGTAGTTTTCCTGCCTGTAGATTCTGGACCTGGGAACAGATTGTGAGTTGGTAGTTTTCCTGTCTGTAGATTCTGGACCTGTGACAGATTGTGAGTTGGTAGTTTTCCTGCCTGTAGATTCTGGACCTGTGACAGATTGTGAGTTGGTAGTTTTCCTGCCTGTAGATTCTGGACCTGGGAACAGATTGTGAGTTGGTAGTTTTCCTGTCTGTAGATTCTGGACCTGTGGACAGATTGTGAGTTGGTAGTTTTCCTGCCTGTAGATTCTGGACCTGGGAACAGATTGTGAGTTGGTAGTTTTCCTGTCTGTAGATTCTGGATCTGTGTGCTGCTCCAGGATCCAAGACGGCTCAGCTGATCGAGTATCTTCACGCAGCGGAGGATGAGGACAGGCCTATCCCAGGTGTGTGAGCCACATCATATAGGGAGACATTCGGAGGGCAGGGTTTATGCCTAACTTCCCGACTAAGTTCAGTGCAAGATTCCTGATTTCCAGCTTGATAATTAATAGCTGCCTTTAACAGGGTTGATAATTTTCAGTGGATCCACAGATTTCGTTAGGTCATGCGTAACTTTTGTGATATGTCATTATGATAATCAAGATAATACTCCTAAATCATGCCACCCCCACCCACCCCTTCACCCACCCCACCCCCAGCTAACTTTTAAGTCTTTCTCATCCTTGCCTCTGAGAGTTAATGTTTTAGATCAGATTTTTACCATTTTCGTTTTACCTTTTGAATCACCTACTGATTAATAACCCTTTGAACTTTTGATCATAGACCATCCAAATTACAATTTTCTTATCTCACCTCAGTAACGGAAATTATTGTTATTTCTATAATCATGGTCACCATCTGATCTGTCTCTCCCTCAGTCCATCCGTCTGTCCCTCTGTCTGTATTTTGTTTCCAGAGCATAACTTGAGATTTTTTATCGAATTATGATACGTGTATTAACCAGGGCCTGAAGTAGTGCCTTTCAGTGTTGTAGGGGCCAGGGGAATTTGTCATCTTCTGATGACTCTTGTTAAGCATGGCTGTCATTACATTTTGAAATTGTGTACCTGCCGTGGTTCAGCTCAGGCCAGGGGCGGTCGGATAGCCTCGTGGTTAAAGCGTTCGCTTGTCACGCCGAAGACCTGGGTTCAATTCCCGATATGGGTACAATGCGTGAAGCCCATTTCTTGTGTACCCCGCTGTACCCCGCTGCTGGAATATTGCTAAAAGCGGCGTAAAACAATACTTTCTCTCTCACTCACTCACTCACTCACTCACTCACTCACTCACTCACTCACTCACTCACTCACTCACTCACTCACTCACTCACTCACTCACTCACTCACTCACTCACTCAGGTCAGAAAGAAAAAATAGTGTCCTTTTGATCAGTTGAAAATTTGGGTTTGAAAAAAAATAAATTAAGTATGCCAACAATGTAAAATCTCTTTCGGATTTTATAGATTAAATCAATAAAAATAAAATCAGATCCTTTACTCTGTCAGAAAGATCTGAGTTTTAAGAATTTGAGATTATACCAAGACTCTTGCACTACAGGCACCTGATCTTAACTAAACTACTCCAAGACATGCTAGTAAACACATGTAGACCCTTGAATAACATTGGTAAATGTGTCAAAAGTATTATGATGATTATCATTAATCGAGTGAAGGTCTTTTTCTCCAGAGGGCTTTGTGATTGCCAACGACAAGGACAACAAGCGCTGTTATCTCATGGTCCACCAAGTCAAGAGACTACAGAGTCCCAACTTCATGATTGTCAACCAGGACGCCACAATCTTCCCCAAGATACGAATCACTCCAGAGGTACCATCACTTACTCTTTGTCCCTGATGACATGTAACAAGACAGTGTGTAGTAACCTCCGTCCGGTCAGACCCACTTAGGGGTCATATCCTTGTTTACCCATAAAGACCTCGCCGAGAGTAATCAGCTGTAAGGTTAAGCTTTAATTCATTTATGCAGTGCTTAACTTCACCTTCATTCTCAGTAAGCCACTGTGTGTTCATTATGTCACATTTCTGGAAGGGTTTTGCTGGCCACTATTTATGGGAAATGAAATATTTGAATGAATAATTCTAAACATTTTTCTTTCAGGATGAAAAACCAGATTTTTTGTATTTTGACCGAATTTTGGCTGATGTCCCATGCACGTAAGTACAGAACAAGATATATGATCTGATGAATGATTGAATACTCAGATGTGTGTAGAGAAGATCCTCAGTGCCTCATGCTTGTCTCCCTCAGTACCCCATGCTTGTCTCCCTCAGTACCCCACGCTTGTCTCCCTCAGTACCCCATGCTTGTCTCCCTCAGTACCCCATGCTTGTCTCCCTCAGTACCCCACGCTTGTCTCCCTCAGTACCCCATGCTTGTCTCCCTCAGTACCCCACGCTTGTCTCCCTCAGTACCCCACGCTTGTCTCCCTCAGTACCCCACGCTTGTCTCCCTCAGTACCCCACGCTTGTCTCCCTCCCTATCCCACGCTTGTCTCCCTCAGTACCCCACGCTTGTCTCCCTCCCTATCCCATGCTTGTCTCCCTCAGTACCCCATGCTTGTCTCCCTCCCTATCCCATGCTTGTCTCCCTCAGTGCCCCATGCTTGTCTCCCTCAGTACCCCATGCTTGTCTTCCTCCCTATCCCATGCTTGTCTCCCTCCCTATCCCATGCTTGTCTCCCTCAGTATCCCATGCTTGTCTTCCTCCCTATCCCATGCTTGTCTCCCTCAGTACCCCATGCTTGTCTCCCTCAGTACCCCACGCTTGTCTCCCTCAGTACCCCATGCTTGTCTCCCTCCCTATCCCACGCTTGTCTCCCTCAGTACCCCACGCTTGTCTCCCTCAGTACCCCACGCTTGTCTCCCTCCCTATCCCATGCTTGTCTCCCTCCCTACCCCATGCTTGTCTCCCTCCCTATGCCGTGCTTGTCTCCCTCAGTACCCCATGCTTGTCTCCCTCAGTGCCCCATGCTTGTCTCCCTCAGTACCCCATGCTTGTCTCCCTCAGTACCCCATGCTTGTCTCCCTCAGTGCCCCATGCTTGTCTCCCTCAGTACCCCACGCTTGTCTCCCTCAGTGCCCCATGCTTGTCTCCCTCAGTACCCCACGCTTGTCTCCCTCAGTGCCCCATGCTTGTCTCCCTCAGTACCCCATGCTTGTCTCCCTCCCTACCCCATGCTTGTCTCCGTCAGTACCCCATGCTTGTCTCCGTCAGTACCCCATGCTTGTCTCCCTCAGTACCCCATGCTTGTCTCCCTCAGTACCCCATACTTGTCTTCCTCAGTGCCCCATACTTGTCTCCCTCTCTATCCCATGCCTGTCTCCCTCAGTACACCATGCTTGTCTCCCTCAGTGCCCCATGCTTGTCCCCCTCAGTGCCCCATGCCTGTCTCCCTCAGTGCCCCATGCCTGTCTCCCTCAGTACACCATGCTTGTCTCCCTCAGTGCCCCATGCCTGTCTCCCTCAGTGCCCCATGCCTGTCTCCCTCAGTGCCCCATGCTTGTCTCCCTCAGTACCCCCTACTTTGGGCTGTGCCATTGGTACTGATGCAAGGATGTTGAACCCTGATGGTATTGAGTGACACATCAAGAAATCTACTGTCTCACTTCACGGATCACGAATGTTGTGTGGAGTAGCCCATGTGTGGAATGTAGGGTTGTTGTAAACATGGCTACATCCAGTCCACATGGCCAACTTTATGCTGGCCATCTTCCATGGTGTTCTTTCTGCTTGCAGGGGTGACGGCACGATGAGGAAAAATCCAGATGTCTGGGGCAAATGGAAACCTATAAACGGGCCCAACCTTCATTTGTAAGTTTCCATGTGGAGAGTAATATTTGTCACTGGCATAGACTATGATGTTGTCAAATGAAATGGTATTTGAAACATTATGTAATACTTTTGATAGGGTTAATCAGCAATGTCATTTTATTTAAATATACGCATGATGAGAATCAGTTTTGTGTATCGTGGAAAGATAAAAATATCCCTATCTAAAGTGGAGTATGTTTTCCAGCCTAATATAACAGCAACCAGCTGGAACATTCGGGGGATCAGGATGTCCCCATCACCTACTCCATGTTAAGTTTGACATTTGCTGTTTGTCCTTTTGCGTGTCCTTTATAGAAGTCCAGTTTCCACCCTTTGCCGAACTTGGCTGGAATTTCTGAGCTTGATTGTAGTGCCACCAGTGACTATTACGAGTTATGCCCCTTCTATGTCCCTCATATTGACCATTCTTGATTCCACCTCTAGTATCACTTGCATTTGTTGGAATATTGCTGAAAGTCGCGTTAAACTTGTTAACTTGCATTTGTTTCAAATAAATTGGCGTCACCCAGTGAAGACGATCTGATCGATAATCAAGATCTATATTGTAATAAAATGGGTCTTACTTCGCGAAGTGTGTAAAATCATGTGAGCACCTTGATTAAGAACGTTAAAAGATTTGGAAAGTGTCTGTTGTCTGTAAACATGCTTTGCAAATCCTGCACTGGACCAAAATCTGCGCGTCAGTTTACAAACCAGATGTTGATTTTGTTGCACAAGTTTGATTGAACTATGCACAGAATTGTTAGTGCAGCCAAACTATAGCTCCATAATTCCAGCCTAGGAGGGCAAGGGTGGGAAGATGCCCTTTGTTTGTCTATGCCCATGTGTTTCATCCAAGTGGTCACCACTTTAGACCAAAGTCACCTCAAGCTTTCCTCCCACACATGCCTGGCACACAGGCCTTTGTGTCGATACTTAAATATTTCTAGATCAATTAACGTCACGAGTGTCAGAAATGCACTATCCTATTATACCTTTACACAAGGCCAGACACACCATACAGCACCGCTCGCCTTGTATCGCTGTTTCTCAAGTGAAATCGTAACTCGGGCACAAAAACGTCATATCTACTCGTGATTGATCTAGAAATATTTACGCAACGACACAAGGGCCTGTGAGCTTGTGGTTGTTTTGTTCATGTTATCAATAGTCCTACAGAGTAATGTCCAACAAAACTTTGCATATGTTTGTCTCAGCTTACAGGTCAAGATACTGAAGCGAGGTTTGGAGTTGTTGAATGAAGGAGGTCGCCTTGTTTACTCCACCTGCTCCTTCAACCCTGTCGAAGATGAAGCAGTCGTGGCTGAAATGCTCAGGCAGTGTAAAGGTAGACATCAACTTGGCGCCAGTAGTATTGCAGTACTGATACCCTTCAGGGCTATACAAATACAAATGTGGATGGTAGTGTTGCAATAAGATACACATTTTGATACAGGACAAATCGAACCTTGACATGAGAAAACATTTGTGTAGCCCCACTGAAACATGCCATGTTGATTTTGAGTTGATTAATCAAACATGGTCTGATGGTCATTAGGAATTTTATAATCAGTTTATCAACAATTTTGAGGATCTTATCAGATTATTTGAAAAGGCAACTAAATGTTTTTGAAGTTGGCTTTGAGAGGAGGTTTGACATATGTGAAGTTGGTGTGGGTGGCTGTCTGCTGGTACAGAGTGACCTTGTGTTGTAGGGTCAGTGGAGCTGGTGGACATGAGTGAGAGTCTGCCTGGCCTCAAGTTTGTGCCCGGTCTGTCCAAGTGGAGGGTATGTGCAGCGAGGCAGATTCTACTGTTACTTCATATGATCGCCGCCAGATGACTTTCTTTACACGGAAGTCTTACAACATGTACAAAGGATAAAAAGAAGCACTTTATGCAATATTTATTTCATGTTACTTAAATATCGTAGGGTTCCACCGTAACTGGATTATTGATTACTTTTATGTTCAACAAAGTTCTCACTCCTTCTTTTTGATCTGTCAAAGCAATACTGACAACTCCAAGTGACTAAACTACAATGCACAATCCTACATTTCAGTTGATGTCCATGGAAGGAGAGTGGTTTGATGTTTTCGAGAATGTCCCAAAGAGATTTTACGGTACATTCAGACCCTCAATGTTTCCCCCAACTGATGAGGAAGCAGCAAAGATGAATCTGAACCGATGGTACGTGTTGTTGAAGCCATTGTGTGACTGGAACACATTCATTTTGCATCTATAGAATACCACCACATTTATCCCGAGAAAGCATGCCTAATCTGGCCTTATGGGTAATGTGATTAACGTTCATGGAGGGTGTGTGTTATCAGTTTATCAGAACCATGCTAATACTTGCTTTGATATATTTCGCCAAAGTGGTGCCAGTCTGTAGATGTCCACCCCACGTTGAACTGATGCATGATAAAATTGAAACACTTAGAATTGGCTGTTAATCCCGTATCACTCGTACTTGTTCTCGTTTACTCACATTCTCACTTCTGTGAAAAAATCTCATGTTGAGATAGAGATAAAAGAATGAAGCTGTTGCTGTGCTACTATACAGCTGTTGTCCAGTTTAGGTGTATATGATGGTGTAATTCCAGCATGCGTGTGTTGCCGCATCACCAGAACACAGGGGGATTCTTCATCTGTGCCCTCAAGAAGGTGTCGAACCTGCCGTGGACAAAAGAAAGGAAACGTAAGTGTAGCGGTAGATTTAACATCAGCACACATAGCTCTGGATATATTTTATTTCTCAGGACACGAAAGTGTTTTTCTTCTTTTGAAGGCGGTTTTGCTATTGCCTCATCAGGCTTACAATTATTCCTGTGAAAAAATGTAAATAATATTGCATGCTTCACCAAAGGGATGTCATGCCAATTTACTTTTATTTTCATACCCCTAAAAAAACAAAGTACTAAGGTTGAAGTTCATTCAGAACATTTCATTGCAGCAGTTGAACAAACAATGGCGACAAAGAGTTCTGATCAGGAGGAGACAACTCCATCAGAACCAGAAGCTGCCTCAACAACAGAGAGGAATTCGGATGGGTAGGTGACCTTTGTTCTGAGTATTATGTAGCAGTGTTGTTTTGGAGCATTATTGACAAGAGCTACTCTTTCGGCTCGTTATCCCCCTGAAAATCAAGGGCGGGTAATTTAGGATCGTGAGAACCACTGGAAGTGATCCAGGGTTTAGTGTAGGTGTACCGAAAAACAACCCTTGGAGATTTAGAGGATGTTGTGACTCAGAGTCAATAATAACGTGACAAGTGAAATCACATCAAACATTATGATGTCATGGTATCTTTTTGTTTGTTTGTTTAATGCCACACTCTGCAGTATTCAAGCTCTGTGATGTCGGTCTGTAAATAATCGAGACAGACAATCCAGTAATTGACATCATGAGCAACGATTTATGAGATTGGGCCTGACAACTTGATCCTGTTAGTCGCCTCTTACAAGTATGGGTTGCTGAAGACAAATTCTAACACGGATCTTCATGGGTTCAATATACTTTGTATAGATTTTTACATGACAGCAACTAGCCAATCAGATAGCTATATTCTTTAACGAGTAATGATAAATGTTTGTCTACTTTCATTTTGTTTCAAGAACATAAGACCCGTGAAGATCCGGGGTAAAATAGGTCTTCAGCAACCCATGCTTGCCGTAAAAGATGACTTTGCTTGTCGTAAGAGGCGACTAACAGGATCGGGTGGTCAGGCACGCTGACTTAGTTGATGCATGTCATCGATCCCAATTGTGTGGATCTATGCTCATGATATTAATCATTGTATTGTCTGGTCAAGACTCAATTATATTGCTGAGTGCAGCGTTAAACAACAAACCAACCAACCAATTTAAGAACATAAGGCAAAATATAATATAAGGAAACTTTAGAGCTGTTAAGGGGTGTTTTTTATTAAGAATGTTTAAGCCCTTGAATGTTTGCTCACAAACCTAGACGTATGAGATACTGATCAGAATAGGTACTCGGTATTATTCCTAAAGTGTACTTCAATGTGGATCGGATTGTTACAAGTGGGAACTGGCTGATCACGTGTTCATGTTGTCATCCACCATCTTCCCGAGGCAAGGAGTTAACTGGCTTTAAAAGTCCAGTTTCCACCCTTGCAGAACTAGGCTTGAATTATGGAGTTTCATTTTGGCTGGACTAATGAGTCTATGCATAGCAGGGGTTGAAAAATTATTTAAAATGTTACTTGACCAAGGGCAAGTATGACCAACATTCTCACTTGCCCTATTTTAAAATGTACTAGCCCAAAATCAAGCTAATAAATTCAGTAAAATGTTACTGCTGCAGAACTGAGAATAAGAGATACACCTGTCCTCCGTGGATTTCTGTAATAAAAGATTAAAACTAACCCTTTTGTCTCATTTATTTACCATGTTTACTCTACATCTCATGTACACAGTGAGTGACAGTCTAATCAACACATTTGCTGCTGCATGGACCAAGCATTGGTACAGGCTCAGGTTTAGCCTCTTTCGCTAAAGACAAGATATGCCTTGATCCTGGTGTGTTGTGAAGCCATTCCATAATGGCAGGTCTTGGATCAAAATCTGTAAGTTTCTTTGAACCATGTGTCATAATTGTCAGTGTATGACAAAGTGTCTTTTGGTTTAGAGCTGTTCTGTGGTGAGTTTTAACTAGGTTCATGCTTGAAAACATTCTCTCACAAATAGACGTTCCTGGACTAACCACAAGCATGAGTTCAACAAGTTTACAGATATGTAAGAACTTGTCAGGTGTATTTTCAAGCAGCCGCTGGTATGTATCAAGAACTGGTCTGGTGCAGCCTTTCAGGTGCCCTTTTAGGTCAATAAATTCTTTGGACATTTGTTTTCTTTCCTCTCCTGAGAACAGTGCAGAGAAATGTTCCATCAGCTCAGACAGGTCAGTGCTACCATACACAGACAGGGGCTCTCTTTGAGTTGGCCATTCTGTGAAGTCAAACACAGAGAAATGCTTGAGAGGCTTCTGTTTGAAGCATGAAAATCTCTTATCTAAGTAGGTGATGATGCCATCAACAAGTGATATGAGGAATGTATCATCTTTAAAGATGACAGGGGGGCACACACCATTTAGCTTCACACCATCAAAAGAGGATTTCTCATGGTTGTACATTTTTGAAAAGTATTCCATACTCTCCCCTGCTCCAACAGGATCAATTTTACAGTTTAGGAGCTTCATGACAAGACCTTCAATTGCTGAAGGGACTTCAATAATGAGAAGGTCTTCCTTCTGGAAGACAAGAGATACCTCTGTGAGGATAGGAAGGATATCAAGAAGGATGCACATAGTTTTCACAAATGAAACTGTCTTCATTTTCCTCAGCCATCCCCGACACTTGGCACTTTGATCTGATCTACCTGCGGCCACACTTTCAAAGTGATTGAGTATTGAGTGAAAGCTTATCTTCAGTGCTCTAACAGCTCGGATTTTGCTCGCAAGCCATCTCACCTGTTTTACATCAGACAGATTGGCAAGATCAGTATTGAATATGTCAGACACGGACTTGAGTTCCCTTCTCATTTTTGGACTATAATGGTAGATCTTGAAAACTTGTTTCAAGACATCTTCAAAATTTGACAGACTAGGAAGATGTTTGACAGCATCCAATACGGCCAGTTCAAGCTTATGTGCTACGCAATGCACTGGTACAACATGTTTTGCTTGTTTGCATATTTTTGCTGCTACACCACCTTTGCTGCCAAGCATGACTGCAGCACCATCAAAATTCACGGATACTAAACTAGGACCACTTGCTTCTGTAGTACTCAACAGATCATCAAAACAAATGTCAACTGATTCAACAGCTTTTCTAATTCCATCAAGCACACCATCAGCATGACATTGTTCGAGAGGTACTGTTCCTGCATGGAAGGATACTGGTTGACCATGGCTTACATATCTCATAAAGACAGTTTCTTGTTCCAAGATGGCACTGTCTGCTTTTCCATCACTTAAAATTGTCACAAATCTCGCTTTCTTCAGTTCGGGAATAAATTCCTTCTGGAGAGAACATGCAATGGCTTTGATAAACTCTCGTGCACCTGCAATGTTCCTATACTTGCTCCCAATGTCAACACCAACACAGTCAAGTAGGTCCAAATTAAACTCAAAATCACTGAGCGGTTTCCCCCGGTAAGCAACATGGAATGCAGTAATGAATAATTTTTCCAACTTCTGCATTGTCTGTTTGTCACTGTTTTGTAAGGCTCTCACAATAGGACTCACATTGTCAGTGCTACATGTGTGCCCAGACAAAGGCATGGTCACATCGCAGCTGCCGCTGGTACTTGCTGTACTTCGACGTTGAGCGTCTCTCTCATATGACATACCCTCCAAATGTGCATCTGATGTATCGTGACTTTTCAAATACTCAATTCTGAAATTTGAACATCCATCAATAAAAGTTCTCTTACGATTGCAAGTGTGTATGTTTGGGTACTTTGAACAAATGGTGCACTTCATGACTTTCGCTGTGTCATCATACGCAACCCAAGGAAACTGGTCTTTCCACCCAGCGATGAATGTTCGTTTTCGTTTACATTCGTCATACTTCTTATTCTTGGCCGATATACAACTTTCGGAATTTCCCTCTGCCTTCCTTTTAAGTTCGTCCCCACCGCCAAAGAAACTTAGAATAGACCGCTGAGACATGATCGGCCATGTGCGGTACTGGCAACATAAATTGTTATTGCAGATACCCCTCTGGGTGCTAATGAGGCAAAGGGAGGCTACTCTGTCCTTTACTAGCTTACTCATTTGAAACAAAAGACTGCAGATTTACTTACAGTGATCCCTCGCTATTGCACTCTTCAATATAGTGCTAACGGTTATATAGCGGTTATTGTGTGCGGTAACACATGGTTCCCAAAACTAATATACACTTTTAGTAAACTCAAGTCACTGACACGATGTCATTTCCCCATCGCAAAAACATTACCACCTGCACGCAACACCGGAAATACCAATTAACAAATTCCGCAATTAAATCCTATTATTACACTATCTGGTTATAAAAAACCCCACATGTTTGTACCTTGACATAAGTTTGTAGCATATTTTATTAATTTTATTTAAAATTTCATTCAATACAGTTTAGATCAATTTTGCCGAAATCGTGCGTAAAGGGGTCGATAGATCGCACAACTCACCGTTATTTACAGCAACCACGGTCAGGTTATCGCTATTGACGCCTTGAAATGAACTTTAGTTGACAACGAAAAGAAACACATATTAAATAAAAGCCATACTTTCACTCGTTAAAAGTCACATTTGTTGTAGTTTGACAAAATTATATTTCATCAAAGCTAGGCCTAACGAAGCATCTAAAGTCGGGAAAATGTTTCAACCTCGCGTTACAATTTCCAAGAAATTCCATTTCCAAGAAGCATGTGCCATATATGGAAGTGTTACTACGATTTAACAATGAAACAAGCCTGGTTCTCGTTGTTGACCTGCCTGAAATCGAAATGTATTAATCCCATTGGTTGACTGGCGTAGCTGTATGCAAATTACATTGTCAGTCTGCGACACTAACAAAATATTAGCCAATCAAATACCGTAACATGATCACATGATTACATTCGCGTGAAACTTGACCCAGTTCATTTTGTGTGCACTACTTGTCCACGGGCATGCTAGAAAACGTATATTACACGCCCGACATCTAAACCTTACTTGGCACGGGCGTCGGGGAATGGTATTTTTCAACCCCTGGCATAGTCCAATCAAAATTGCCACCAGTGGCTATAACCAGTTATGTCACTTCTAAGCCCCTCCTATGGGCCAATCAGATTCCACCTTTCGTATCACTTGCTTCACACAAAATGGTGGCGCCCAGTCAGGACGATTTGATCGATAATCAAGATCTATATTGTGATAAAACGGGTCTTACATCGCGAAATGCATCAAATCACATGAGCACCTTGATTAAAACCATGAAGAGATTTGGAATAATATCTGCTGACAACGAGTTGGCGGTGCACATGTTTTGCAAATCCTGCAATCGATTGAAATCTGCACGACAGTTTACGAACTGGATTTTGATTTTGGTGCGCGATTTTGATTGGACTATGCATAGACTCATTAGTCCAGCCAAAATGAAACTCCATAATACCAGCCTAGTTCGGCAAGGGTGGAAACTGGACTTTTATGGTCAGTTAACTCTTGCCTCGGGAAGATGGACATCCACTTGCTTGTCAAGCACTTGTGAAATGAAGAGCAGCATGACCTTTACCCCTCCACAGTGGTTCATCATGACAGACAACTTGTTTTCTACCCACAGAAGGCCGCCTCAGAAGAGACAGAAGATATTTGGATATAAAGAGGACCCGTTCCTGTTCTTCAATCCAGATGATAAAGTGTGGCCCCCTATCAAGTAAGTGTCACCCTGTACGGTTATGCTCAGTAGGGATGGTTGGGTATCCTAGTTTTTAGAATGTTGGTTTGTCACGCCCAGGACAGTCTTCCTGTTACTGCTGTGCTGTGCTGTATGGGGGCGGTCGGGTAGCCTAGTGGATAAAGCAGTCGCTCGTCACTCCCGACATGGGTACAATGTGTGAAGCCCATTTCTGGTGTCCCCTGCCGTGATATTGTTGGAATATTGCTGAAAGCTGCGTAAAACCATTCTCACACACTCACTCTGTACTGTTACTGTACTGTTACTGTACTGTACTGTTACTGTAACTGTTACTGTACTGTACTGTACTGTTACTGTTCTGTAACTGTACTGTACTGTACTGTTACTGTTACTGTACTGTACTGTTACTGTTACTGTTACTGTACTGTACTGTTACTGTATGTACCCTCATGCTTGATCATTGCTTTAGATGTCTAGTAGGCTTGTTCTGGTGTGTCTGCTCAGGGTTCCCCTTTCTACAAAGCAATGTAGTTGGTGGTGTTCCCATTCACTGCTTTAGATGTCCAGTGGGCTTGTTCTGCTCAGGGTCCTTGTTCTACAAAGCAATGTAGTTGGTGGTGTTCCCATTCACTGCTTTAGATGTCTAGTGGGCTTGTTCTGGTGTTTCTGCTCAGGGTCCTTGTTCTACAAAGCAATGTAGTTGGTGGTGTTCCCATTCATTGCTTTAGATGTCTAGTGGGCTTGTTCTGGTGTTTCTGCTCAGGGTCCTTGTTCTACAAAGCAGTGTAGTTGGTGGTGTTCCCATTCATTGCTTAAGATGTCTAGTGGGCTTGTTCTGGTGTGTCTGCTCAGGGTCCTTGTTCTACAAAGCAATGTAGTTGGTGGTGTTCCCATTCATTGCTTTAGATGTCTAGTTGGCTTGTTCTGGTGTGTATGCTCAGGGTCCTTGTTCTACAAAGCAGTGTAGTTGGTGGTGTTCCCATTCATTGCTTTAGATGTCTAGTGGGCTTGTTCTGGTGTGTCTGCTCAGGGTCCTTGTTCTACAAAGCCATGTAGTTGGTGGTGTTCCCATTCATTGCTTTAGATGTCTAGTGGGCTTGTTCTGGTGTGTCTGCTCAGGGTCCTTGTTCTACAAAGCAATGTAGTTGGTGGTGTTCCCATTCACTGCTTTAGATGTCTAGTGGGCTTGTTCTGGTGTGTCTGCTCAGGGTCCTTGTTCTACAAAGCAATGTAGTTGGTGGTGTTCCGATTCATTGCTTTAGATGTCTAGTGGGCTTGTTCTGCTCAGGGTCCTTGTTCTACAAAGCAATGTAATTTGATGGTGTTCCCATTCACTGCTTTAGATGTCTAGTGGGCTTGTTCTGGTGTTTCTGCTCAGGGTCCTTGTTCTACAAAGCAGTGTAGTTGGTGGTGTTCCCATTCATTGCTTTAGATGTCTAGTGGGCTTGTTCTGGTGTGTCTGCTCAGGGTCCTTGTTCTACAAAGCAATGTAGTTGGTGGTGTTCCGATTCACTGCTTTAGATGTCTAGTGGGCTTGTTCTGGTGTTTCTGCTCAGGGTCCTTGTTCTACAAAGCAGTGTAGTTGGTGGTGTTCCCATTCATTGCTTTAGATGTCTAGTGGGCTTGTTCTGGTGTGTCTGCTCAGGGTCCTTGTTCTACAAAGCAATGTAGTTGGTGGTGTTCCCATTTACTGCTTTAGATGTCTAGTGGGCTTGTTCTGGTGTTTCTGCTCAGGGTCCTTGTTCTACAAAGCAGTGTAGTTGGTGGTGTTCCCATTCATTGCTTTAGATGTCTAGTGGGCTTGTTCTGGTGTGTCTGCTCAGGGTCCTTGTTCTACAAAGCTATGTAGTTGGTGTTGTTCCCATTCATTGCTTTAGATGTCTAGTGGGCTTGTTCTGCTCAGGGTCCTTGTTCTACAAAGCAGTGTAGTTGGTGGTGTTCCCATTCATTGCTTTAGATGTCTAGTTGGCTTGTTCTGGTGTTTCTGCTCAGGGTCCTTGTTCTACAAAGCAATGTAGTTGGTGGTGTTCCCATTCACTGCTTTAGATGTCTAGTGGGCTTGTTCTGGTGTGTCTGCTCAGGGTCCTTGTTCTACAAAGCAATGTAGTTGGTGGTGTTCCGATTCACTGCTTTAGATGTCTAGTGGGCTTGTTCTCCTGACTTTGTGGAAGAGAGCTGATGTCAGATGAAGGCCCAAGTTGGAGTCCTTATGTAACTACAGTTTTCCACTGCTCAGCATCACGAGAGACCCATTGTCTGTAACTTAATGTGCTGAGAAGGACAATTTAACTCAATGATAACTATTTGATTGGCATTCTAAAAAATTGGTGAGTAGGTAATAAAACATAGAACATTATGGACAACAACTTTATGGACAACAACTTTATGGACAACAACTTCTGGTAAATCCTGTAAACGTTGCCTTTACAGTAATTAACGAAGTTGTTATCCATAAATTGTGTCTACTTTGTCATCCGTCAACTTTTAAGTAATGCCTGTCAAACAATTTAAACTTGAAGTTGTTATCCATAAGGTTGTACGTTTTCTTGACTATTGATGCTGTTTCAGGAAATTCTACAAGGTTCCGGACGACTTCCCCGTGAGTCAGATCATGTACAGGTCGGAGCTCGGCAACAAGAAGAACTTGTACTATGTGTCTCCTTCCATCCGCAAAATAGTGCAATACAACATGGACAGAATCAAGGTGAGTACCTGGCACACCATCGCTCACTCCACCTTGCAGTGCAACACCGACAGAATCTAGTTGATGTCACAAGACTTTTTAAGCAACATTTAATCCAACTTCCACGATGTAGTATGTTATCAGTAACGTTGACAGGGTAGGACTCAAATCATATCCGAATGTGTGCCAAAACTTTAAAAGAAAAGGTATGTATATAGCTTAGTGAAGACTGGATAGACTTAGTATGTAACTGTTGTCATGGTGAAATGGGACAGCATTGAAGTTTTGTTAGAATTTGACTGTTCAGCAGTTGTAGTTTTGCTTATGTCTACTCCACATGGATTATTGACATTAGAGATTTTTCTTTTATGGAGAATAATCATCCTTAGCCAGTTTTCATTGCAAATTTACTTGAACAGTCTTGAGACTTGAATGATCTTAAAAAGTTGTCTTGAATGAGGTCAAGGAAGTAATGTTTTCAGACTGAAAGTAAGTGGCGGTATTTTAAGATTAGAGATACTTTGCGGAATAGGGGGCAATTATTGTAGTCGTTATTGCACATTTTGAAATTTATATTTGTTTGTGTTTCCATGGCAACCATTTGGATATTTCAGGACCATAACTAATGAACCATACATATTTCTTCATTACACTTTGTGAGTGAGTGCACATCAGAGATGTATTGAACTGGAGCTCTTTGTTATTCAGAAATTGTTAAATCTGTTTGCTATTTTGTTATGGAATAATAATTTAGAGGTTTGAAAATATTCTATGAAAATCAGTACTGAAAAGTGTATTGAAAAGTACCAATACTAATTCACATCCTTGGAAGGTATTGAAAGCTTGCAAAGAATCCAGGAAATCATTGGGTTTAGTCCTCAACCATCATGGTCATAATGTCAGTTATACTCACAAACTTTAAGATGAATGTTTTTTTATGTAATGAAGTATATGACATGCCTTTTGGGATTTTTATGCACATAATTAAAAGGGGCTGGGCATACACATGACTTTGTCTTGTGTTTTTTTCAGTTCATCAACATGGGGTTCAAACTATTAAGCAGGAATCCATCGCCCATCGTGCCTGAGTGTGACTTCAGGATTTCACAAGAGGTAAGTAATCGAAGGACCAGATGTTAAAGCCAAAGACAAGCAATCAGCTGGTTACAGAGGAGGCAAGATGTCAGCCTTTTGTAGACCACAGGATAGACCATGTGATCAGTCTGGTTGTGGCTGAGAATCCGGGGGCTGAGGATGTTGGGTGTGGAGTTGGGCGCTGAGTTGGGTGTGGAGTTAGGTGTGGAGTTAGGTGCTGAGTTGGTGTCTTGTTGGGCCACGAGTTATGGGCCAAGTTGGGTGCTGTGTTGGGCACCGAGTTGGCTGCCGTGTTGGGCACCGTGTTGGGGGCCGAGTTGGGGGTCAAGTTGGGCGCTGTGTTGTGGGTCAAGTTGGGCGCCCTGTTGGGGGTCGAGTTGGGCGCCGTGTTGGGGGTCGAGTTGACGCTGTGTTGGGGGTCGAGTTGGGCACCAAGTTGGGTGCTGTGTTGGGTGCCGTGTTGGGCACCGAGTTGGGGTCTGTGTTGGGCGCCATGTTGGGGGTCGAGGTGGGCGCCGAGTTGGTTGCCGTGTTGGGGGCTGTGTTGGGGGTCGAGTTGGGCGCCATGTTGGGCACCGAGTTGGCTGTCGTGTTAGGGGCTGTGTTGGGCACCGAGTTGGCTGCCGCTTTGGGGGCTGTGTTGGGCACAGTCTTGGGCACCGATTTGGCTGCCGTGTTGGGGTCCGTGTTGGGGTCTGTGTTGGGCGCCATGTTGGGGGCTGTGTTGGGGGTCAAGTTGGGCGACGTGTTGGGCACCGAGTTGGCTGTCGTGTTAGGGGCTGTGTTGGGCGCCGTGTTGGGGGTCGAGTTGGGCGCCGTGTTGGGCACCGAGTTGGCTGCCGCTTCGGGGGCTGTGTTGGGTGCCGTGTTGGGGGTCGAGTTTGGCGCCGTGTTGGGGGCCGTGTTGGGCGCCGTGTTGGGCACCGAGTTGGGTGCCGTATTGGTACCGTGTTGGGGGTCGAGTTGGGCGCTGTGTTGGCTGCCGTATTGGGCGCTGTGGTGGGCGCCGTGTTGGGGGTCGAGTTGGGCGCCGTGTTGGGCGCCAAGTTGGGGGCCAAGTTGGGGGCCGTATTGGGCACCGAGTTTGGGGCCGAGTTGGGTGCTGAGTTTGGTGGTGGTTATCATTGTTGATCGGGCTCAGGTCCAGCGCTCCAGATTAGCTTTTTGAGCCATTGAGTATTGACTCACATGTAATTCACATTGGGAATTGTTATTTTTTGTGGGGTATTCTATACAATTTTACTATTTTAGGTCCAGTTTATTGGGTTCTTCAATCACAATGAATAGACCTTTTTCAAAATAATTCTATTTCAATTGTATTTTAGGTAACTTTTAATTAGCATGAGTTCCTGTCCTGCCCAAATTGTGTCACATGTCTCATAACTTCCTAACAGTGATACACGTCTAGGTTACATTTAGCAAGATATTGCACACCTGCTCATTAGTCACTGCAGTAGAGTTGGTGTATTTATTCATGCATATTTGTATGCAAACAACTCAAAATTAATTGGGTTATTGTGATTTAGTTGGATATTTTAGTCAAATGTGCAGCTTATCTGGAGCTACTGTACCTGTCAAACATGTACCTCTATCACTCCCCTCTGAACAAGTAACATTGAGGATTTGGCACATTCAGCTATCTTCTGGATCAACAAGATTTACTCTGAGAAAGTGTTTTGTAGAGTTCGTATGAAAAAAATTAACACCATCTTGAGACCCAAATCCCCCGTTATTTTAGAGAGGGTGGATCAAAATGGTGTCTGAAAATCCTAGAAACTGTTACCTTGGAAGCAGCTTCCGGCCATTCCTCACCATTATACATGTAATCAATGACTGATTGACTGGAATAAGGGGGTTACAGCCAGTGGTCTGTGGTATTCCTTCAGTGTGTGGGCCTCCTGTACAAGTGGTTCCCCGGCCGGTATGTCCAAGTCACCAGGTCTGACATCATCATGCTGTTGAGCGAGGAAAACCCTTACATTATCAAGTTTACCAAGAATACTCAGGAGCAGATCGATAAAATAAGTGAGTTGATTAAGCCTTCATAAATGATGAGGTTTTACCAAAATATATATTTGCTTACATTTTCAGTTTTAAGTGCTGTGTATGACATGTTATTATGAACATTATTATGAGAGGTATTAATCATATTGTTTACAGATCATTCTACCCTGTCATTGAAAGATGATCTATTTAGATTGGTGAATTTTATTTAATTGAAGTGGTTAATGATCAATATGACTGCACTGAATATATGCGCAAGAAGAAGTGTTTGTTTCTCTTTCCTCCTACATCAAGCTGACATGCTGTGATAAGGGAATAACTGTTCAAAGCTCGCTCCCTCACTTTACGATGAATCAGCATTTAACAAGTTAACTTTAATGAATGGTATTGTGGAGTTTCACATGTTTTTCATTGGGAAGTGATTATTTAAAAGCTGCACCATTCTCACATGTTCGTATTTCAACCAATCACAGGTCATGGGAGTGCTGTATTTCACTTCAAGCCAACTGAACAGTAAGATTGTCTTGAATTCTCTCCCTGTTTTAATTTAAGTCACCTCTCAACAATCTTGTGATTGTCATTCACTGAAGGGGCGGTCAGGTAGCCTAGTGGTTAAAGCGTTGGCTCGTCACGGGTTCGATTCCCGACATGGGTACAATGTGTGACCCCCATTTCTGGTGTCCCCTGCCGTGATATTGCTGGAATATTGCTAAAAGCGGCGTAAAACCATACTCGATCACTCACTCACTCATTCACTGAAGCTACCAACCCGTGAAGATCCGAGTCAGAATAGGTCTTCTTGCAACCCATGCTTGCTGTAAAAGGCGACTATGATTTTGTAGAGGCCACTAACGGGATCGGGTGGACAGACTCCACCTGGTTGTTGCCTGTCATCATATCCAAATTGTGTAGATCTATGCTCCTGATATGAATCTCTGGATTGTCTGGTCCATACTTGATTATTTACAGATCACCATCATATAGCTGGAATATTGCTGAGTGCAGCGAGGGATGTTATTCAAGGGATTTCTCATGCTAGAATATATTATGATATTGATAGTGTAGTGGACAGAGCATCTGCCAAGGGAGTAGATGGTTGGTGCTTCGATGCCCTGGCTGTGTCATACTAAAAGACTTGACTTGTTGTTACCCTGCCTGGAGTTTGGCATTAGGGGATAAACCAAGGACTAGTTAGCTTGTAGTCAGTATAATGTTTCTGAGTGGTGTATCCTTTTAAAAACTGTGACATTGTATCTTAGTGGTCTAGCAGCGTGAAATTGGCAGAAGCAGCTACGCACACACTCCCATGTATATCTGCAACAATCTTGAATGTTATGTTAACCCAATTTCTCCTCACCACCTTAAGCTGACCTGTACCCCTGTCAAACAGATGTGAAAGATTACTGGTACTAAAGATAGATTAAGTCTAATCAACTGTGATTGTCGTGGTCATGATGGTCGTGATTGTTTCAGGGATCCAGACCCAAAATGTGATATAGTGTTCACGGGGTGGAGAGGGAAGGTCTCCATTAGATCGTTTGTAGCCAACTTCGACAGACAACACTTCCTCCTCCTGTGTGGGATGGACCTCCAGGAAATCAGTAAGTATATTTAACCTTATGTTGTGGTAACATGCTCTTTATCTGTAGTCTACTGTCCTTGGAGGACAGACAGCCTCCGTGGTCTAGTGGTAAGGCGTCTGCCCGGAGAGCGGAAGGTCCAGGGTTCGATCCCCGGCTGTGTCATACCAAAAGACGTTAAAAGATGGTACTTGTTGTTACCCTGTCTGGCGCTCCTCGGCATTAAGGGGCTAAAACAAGGACTGGTCGGCTCGGAGTCAGTATACTGTGTGTGAGTGGGGTATTCATGTTAAACTGCGGCATGGTATCTCAGTGGGCTAGCACTATAAATCGGCACCGGTCCGGACTAGTACAAGCACACACACTAACACACACACTAACACTAACACACACACACACACACACCAATTGGCTATATAAGTGCAATAATCTTGGACGCGACGTATAACCCAATTTCACCTCACCTCACCTTTGAGGACATTTACGTTTTCCAGAGACATGGGGGTGTTTGGGTAGCCTTGTAGTTTGAATTACCCTGTGGGTTTGAGTTGTGATGCTCATGCTTGCTGTCTCCTGTCAAGATATTGCTGAAATATTGCTGAATATGAGTGTAAACTCAAATTGTCAAATAACCAGATTCCCATTTAGTTCCAATCCTGGCAGTAATGGCAACATAGTGGAAATGTTTAGGCCCATTGATATTAGGCAGCCCCCTTGTAAAGGATCTAATCATGTGACCTTTTGGGTGACCTCTGTGTAAGTTCAAAGTCACTTGAGGTCAAAATATGGAACATTATTCAATTTTCATAAAATTTCATATGAATTCATAACATGTCTAAGCATTTCCCAATCTCTAATGATTGACACTTAGTTGTTATCTCAATACCTGTCATGGCTTTGTCAAATGTCAAGGTCGGTTTGAAGGTCATTCTCTTTTGAAATGACTTGTAGTTTCATTCAGGAAGTATTGTTAGTTTAGTATGGTGACCTCACATTTGTAAAATATTTAAGTAATGTACTCACACATGATTGGATGACCTTGAACACAAGGTCTCTCAGTGGGAAGTAGACATCCAAAAGCTTGTGTAGTGATATCGTTAAATTGGAAGTGTTCATAACTTAGTTATAAGGTAACCAGAGACATGAGACTTTCTGTTTCAAAGTTGTACTGCATTGGCCATCAGATGATATGGTCAAGTAAAAATGGTTCATGATATTTGTTTCTGATGGGGGAAGTTTTGGGGCATTCAGGAAATGGCGGGGAAGGAGCTGCTTCTGTTTTGTCATGTAATGCAAACACCCTTCTTCTTATTATGATTTTCTCTCCTCCCTTCTCCCACCCCACATTAGCATCAGCATCAGCATCGGCATTTGGTGAAGGCATTCCCATCCTATTCAGAGCCATAAATTGAAAAACGTTCAATATTTTTCATGGAAAACAACACTAGGCTTTGTTTCCATGACATAACTCCCAAACTAATTAATATTTTTGCATGAAACTATACATGTGCAATGACCACTTGCTCAACTATTGCCTTTTCATAATTTTCAATTTTGAATTGTTTTTCATTTCTTGTTTCCAAAATTTGTTTGAATCAATTTGGACTCATTCTCAAACAGGTAGTGTTTGTTTCCCACCCATACTTGACAGCTAATGAACATTTCTGCATGAAACCATTATGTTTCCATGCTATAATTTGCTATTAATGTTTTTTGGATTTGCAAACACATTTCTATGACAACTGAATGACTTTATAACAAAAAAGTATGGGGGAAGACATGTTTTTATGAGTAAAATCACATTCTATTATTATTATTATTATTATTATTATTGATGCATTAAAATATGTGTGCATGAACTTGACTCTTTTCTTCCTGCAAATTGTTGATGTTTGTAGTGGTATGCACAAAGGGAGACAACCAGAGTTGTCATGATGTAGCCCTCACGAATAGAATAAACGTGTCTCAAACACACTCCTGCGTCCATCCTGATTTTGAAGGAATAGCTAACATAACAATGTTGTTCCAAGCCAATGTCACTGTATACATACATATATACATACAAATACTGTATACACTGTCATGCGTCCCCTCTGTAGTGATACCACCAAGACACTATTGTAGAATCTGGCTCAGGAAAATCAGACAAAAAAGATGCATTTGTTGAGAGATTAACCCCAAATAAGTGATGTTGATGAAAGTCCCTGTCGTTTATGTATCTGATGCTGTACCTACTGTTGCAGGAGCGAAAGTGCAGGAAGAGAAAGCAAGAAAGAAGGCAGCTGAAGTGATGAAGGAAAAGACTGGGCAGGGGGAAGCTGGAGAAGGGGAGGGGGACTCCAAAGAAGGGGAGGGGGACTCCAAAGAAGGAGAGGGGGACTCAGAAGAAAAGATTGATTCAAAAGGAGACCTTAAAGTGAATATGGGCTCTAAAGAAGAGATTGTTGATTCTAAAGATGGGGATGTAGAAGAAGTGAAAGTGGACTCTAAAGATGGCAAGACAGCCAAGGCTGGTGTTGCAGAAATGGAGCAGACATGATAGATGTATGAATCTGTATGACGTCGGGAGACTGTGTGCTGGAGATCTGATGGAAGTGAAAATATAACTTTCTGTAGATTCCAACACTGTGAAGGAGATTGATAGGAAAAAGAAAAAGAACATTTGCTTTTATTACTGTACAGATTTGTGTACAAAATTACAAAGAAGTACTTTTTTAATTGTGAAAATTTGTCAAGTGCAATCTTTTATGATTGGTTTAAATAAAATTGAGCTATGTTTTAATTGAGACATCAAGATTTATTACGACATGGCTAAGATTCGAGTTGTTTCCAGAGTACAATTGAAAACTGTGAAAACTTTTCTTCGAAACCTGGTGCATGTACACTGCTGTAAAGAATAACTGAGGTCATCAAACGTTTTTAAATTTAATAGGGCCAGTACAAAATATTACCTACTTGCAGGGAAAGTTGAGTTTAGGAAATGTTAAGAACCTTGTTTATTCTGTAATATTCCACCAGTATGAGGGTGGACCATACAGTCCAGTGCTTGACATCATGAGCGCACTCACGCACGCACGCATTTACATCGGTATATAAGTGCAATAATCTTGGACATAACCTTAAACCCAATTTCACCTCACCTCACCTCACCTCACCTCACCTCACCATGAATGCACCACATGTGACGTCATAGATCCATGACTTAAGATGCACCATTTGTCTTGTTCAGGATGAGTGGGTAAATTTGGCAAATTACTGCAGTATTTTGTGATAAGAATAAACACTCTGTGGTTTACACTTGACTGATTGTTAGTTTTGTCAATTGGTAGATTAATGGAAACATCACTTCTAGGGCTGGGACAGGTAACTCGGGTACCCAGAAGACAACCCGGACCTGTGGTTAGTCACGTGAATTACCTAAAACTCTATGGTTACACAACAAGTCACTTTTGAACACATTCCTTTTGACTTTTATATTTTTGAATAAAGATAAAACTCCATGCAGTAAACTTCAGTGTGTGCATGACCAGATCGTTTTACACATGTATCTAAATACATTTTGCCAGGGCTACGGTCAAACTTTTCCAAATCGGACAGTTTGTACCTATCTCTAAATATCTACAACGGGTATCCGGGTAGGGTCGGGTAAAAGGGTGGAGGGTATCCGGGTAGTAAATTTGGACTCGCCCCAGCCCTAATCACTTTTTAACGTACACACTTCTCTATTTCGCGTTTCTATTGGCGGTGAGTATATGATCGGTAATAGCCATTGATTAACTGGTAACCTGCATCCAAGGTTCACCAATCGTACACAAAATACGAAAAAGAAACAACACATTTTCTGTATTATTTATGTTAGTCAGTTTGTTGTTTTAAGGCCGCCCTCCGCAATATTCCCCCTATATTACGGCGGTCCGTGAGTCGCCTCTTACGACAAGCATGGGTTGATGATGACCTATTCTTACCCGGATCTTCAAGGAAGTATTGTTTATGACATGTTTCCAGACAAGTGTCAAATGTCTGACATTTGAATATGTATTGGTTATTCGGTACATATCCATTGATGAATGGCTTAGAGATATTTCTCAAGGATTCACCGCCCGATCGAGCATTTGCTGCTTGAGTCACCTGAGGGGCAAAAGAAAGTGTACGGAGTTTGTATTTTATGTAATTGGAAAATGAAGAACCGTTGTTCAATTTGGTTGTGCCGATTTAACCAATTATTAAAGATTATATGACGAGTGTGAACTGTTTATCATACAATAAAACACTGCAGGGAGTATATGGGTATACACTGACATCTCAGTGGCTTAACCCGCACCTGCACTAACCCGAATTTCAGATTCATGTACTTATTGTGAGTATTGAATACTGTTCAATTGTTAATACATGTAGTTAGTGAAAAGGGACTATGCTTGTCGTAAGAGGCGACTAACAGGATCGGGTGGTCAGGCAGCCTGACTTGGTTGATGCATGTCATCGTATCTCAATTGCGTGGTTCAATGCTCGTGACATCAATCACTGGATTGTCTGGTCCAGACTCGATTATTTACAGACCGCCGTCATATAGCTGGAATATTGCTGCGTGTGGCGTTACACAACAAACAAAAGATGTAGTTCATTTAATTTTTGTTTTACCCCCCCCCCCCCCCCCCCCCCCCCCGTGGGGATTCCGTGTTGGTTTAGGTCACCAGTAATTGTTGGTCAGGCTCGGTCACCAGTAATTGTTGGTCAGGCTCGGTCACCAGTAATTGTTGGTCAGGCTCGGTCACTTGGTTGATTACGTGACATAATACCCCGACGGCGTGGGACGTTGCTCATTATAGTAATCACAGGTTTGTTTGGTCCAAATTCGATTGTATAAAGGCCGCTATCATACTGCGTTAAAAACAGCACCATAGCATCTACACCCCTAAGGGGGGACCATCGTGTTTTTCAAACCCCTTTTATTAGAATCGAAACAGGGCCCGTGAAGACCTGGTTTAGAATAGGTCTTCAGAAATCCTTGCTTGCCGTAAGAGGCGACAATACTTTTAAGAGGCGTAGCTGATGCTCATGATGTGAATCACTGGATTATCTGATCCAGACTCGATTATTTCCCGCCGTCATGTATAGATGGAAAATTGCTGAGTGCGGCGTTAAGCAACAAAGAAACACAATTCTAACCGAAGTGTCAAGCTATGTAGCCGAATCGTTTTAGAATGCGGACTTATGTACTTGACTGAAAAACGAATGGTAGGGTGATCGATTTTGTATATACATATCTTCTATCGATGTCAGCTACAAATATTTAATTTGTCATCGAGTTATTGCCACAATCCCGCCCCAAAGACCAAGTTCTATCAATCGTTACATGTGTAAATGGTACCACAATGATAAAGACAATGGTTCATGGATATTGCTTAGCATTACTTATACCCCTTTGACCAAATATCGATCTACCTTTCGATTATTCAAGAAACATCCGAACATTTATGTCATCTTCGTGGATTATTCCCAGGAAAATATATTGGTTCAGTGTAAATAGCCATCGACTTTACGTAGAGAGTTTCGGCATGTATTCATTAATTTAAAGATGCTACTGAAACGCTCTCACTAACACCGTATCCAGAAACGATGTAGTCAGTTTGCTGCCTTATACTCAGTTCTCAATACAATCATCTTCTCGAGGCAAGAGCCTCCACTAGCCTTGTTTTCACTAGGCTTTGATATATGCCAGTGGACACGCTTGCCGCGGGAAGATGCTCTACAACCCGCGTGTTTTACATCATCGATTGCACAATTGCAGCATAAAAGACACTTTTTGCCATCAGATCATGCTTTCCTGCTGAGGTTGCGTTTGTGCTACATGTTTTCATATTTTCGTATCCAATTTGAACACCAGAAAAGTTTTTCTTGTATGCAACCGATTGGAAAGGGGTGTCATAGGAACTTTTGTTGCTGAGTGTAGTTGAGAAGAAACCCCAAAGTGCCGCAGACCTGAAACGCTTACCACTCTTGTGAAGCCCTCCAACACGGATATGCCTGCATACCAAGAGACATTATCTGGGCAAATCTGAGATTCGAACCCACGACCACCAGCCCCTACCATCAAAGGGACGATGACTTGGCAATCTTCAACGCTTGGTCATCCGAGCGACAACTTTTGGAGCATTTGGAACAAAATATCAACCTTTTCAGTAAAACGCGTCGCAATATAAGTGCAATAATCTTGGACGCGACGTTAAACCCCATTTCACCTCACCTGTCAATACAAAAATAATTGTCAGATTTGTCATTTAAATAACTATTATCTTTCAAATGACCTGTTGCTGAAATATTAGCCGCTAACTTTTACACACCTGTGCGTTTACGAATGCGACAAAAGATATGAAACCCAGACTAAATATTAAAGGTGAATACGTCGTCGAATCATCTTTCTTGTTTTTAACTGAACATTACTTGGAATATTCAAACAGATTACATTAACAATTTGCTAATGAATCTGTAAACCTTAATTCATCTACGTGAGCTGTGCAGGTCGAAAATAAAGTTATGCCTATATGGTAATGTGCTTGTTGACCAATTGTTGAAGGTTAACAAAACAAGTATGTTTTACTAGCAAGACACCAATACTGTGCGATTTAAGTTCCAACTTTCGTTGACGCAAGGCACGTCAGTGGAGCCATTTCGTGACATATACACATGCACAAAAGTTATGCGCCACCCATCATATTTGTGAGCTGTTACTTTTGGCACTTAATGATGACTATTATAACGAGATGTACGATTGTTATAAGCCGTATATGTAAACCTCATGTGATGCAAAAGTTGTCCCAAAGCAAGTTTATCTTGTGTTCCAAAAGAATATGAGCAGAATGGAATTTTACCGAAGACTGAAATTGATTGATTAGAAATCATTGAAAAACTGTTTTTGTCATGTAACTGTCATGATATCAGCAGACCATATCAGGTGTCACATAGACACCCTAGGGAGTGCAGAGTCTATTGCAAGACAGAAACGTCAGTAACGTGTGTATGATCCACGGACATTGACCACAGCTTCAACCGTACACCTCATACTCATTACAAGTCGTTGAATGCTTCTCTGAGGCAAACGGATCCATTCTTCATGAAGTGCGGCTTCAAGTCAAGCGAGATTTTGAACTGGGGGATCATGATGTCTGATTTTCCGGCCAAGAATGTACCAGAGATGCTCAATCGGATTAAGATCCGGACTACAGGCCGGCCAAGGAAGAGTGGCAATAGCTTCTTGACGCAAATAAGCCAAAACTGCCAGAGATCTGTGTGGTCTAGCATTGTCGTCCATGTAAACAGGTCTTGTCTGAAGAGAATGGTTGTCAAAATGAGGGACTACCACTGGACGAAGAACGGCATCTTGGTATTGTTGGCAGTTCAGGTTTCCACGAATTGTCACCAGCGGAAGTTTTCAGCCGAAGGAAACACAACCCCATATCATGACAGACCCCCCGCCACATGCTTAGGTCTTCTGGATGGTCCTTGGTGCAAAACGAGTGTTACGTTGCCTCGAAACACGTTTTCGACCATCAACAGTTCGTAGCAGCATTCGACACTCGTCAGACCAATGGATCCTTCTCCAGTTGGCCAAGTTCCATCGACTACGGGCACGACACCATATCAGACGATTCCGCATGTGCCTCTCAGTCAGTTGAGGACGTTTTAATGGTCTTCTGGCGTTATAACCAGCCGCTCTGAGGCGACGCCTTACGGTCATCGTCGAGAGTCTCTGATGGGTAATCCACTGCTGTCTTCAATCTGTTGAAGTGGCAAATGGATTTCGTCTGACTATCCTGAAAAGACGTCTATCCTCTCTGTTAGAGGTCTTTCTTGGCATACCAGACTATGCCTGTCATTGACATCATTGGTTTGACCATGTTTGACAATCAAACGAGTGATAACACTGTGATGACGACCCATTTGCCTTGCAATGGCCCTGCATGACATGCCTGCATTTTTCATGCCTATGACTTGCCATCTTTCGTTAACTTCTTCCTCACTATGGCTGATTTTCAACCTCTATTGGAAGGGGAATCTCACACAGGAGCAAAATGCAACCACGTGTCTGAAACTTGAATTTCACTATTTATAGGGTAGGGGAACTGCAGCAACACGTAAAGCACGCTTTCCTTGTGGTATCTGGACAAATTTGGGTTCATAAAACTATGGAAGCCTAATTCAGTCATACATCATCATATTTCTGATTCCCACACGTGAAATCAAGAGACTATGAATATGGTGGCGATTAACTTTTGTGCATGTGTATATATAGGGTCAATTGTGC